GTGCCATATACCCTTACATTGTGCCCCTTAAGTGGGAGTACACAAATCCCCTCCTTTCTCCTCCTCCCAACCCCCTGTTCACCTTCTCCCCTTAACTTGAATTGAACTGAGTTTTTCTGTTGTGTGGGCATGTGCTAGATCATCTACTGACTTCCTGTTAGTATTGAGTACGTTGGTTTGAGTACATATTTGTATTGAGTATGTATTTGGTTTTCCTTGTGATACTTTACTAAGGAGATGTGTTTCAACTCCATCCAGGTTAATAAAAAGACATAAAGTCTCCGTCTTTTTATGACTGAATAATATTCCATGGAATACACAATACCACAGTTTGTTAATCCATCCCTGAGTTGATGTGCATTTATGTTGTTTCTACCTCTTGGCAATTGTAAATTGAGCTGTGATAAACAATCTAGTGCAAATGTCTTTATGATAAAATGATTGTTTTCCTTCTGGGCAGATGCCTAGTAATGGGATTGTGGGATCAAATGGCAGGTCTAATTTGAGTTCTTTGAGTATTCTCCATACTTCTTTCCAAAGAGGCTGTTTAGTCCATAGTCTCACCAACATAAAAGTGTTCCCATCTCCACATCTGAGCCAGCATCTGCAACTTTGGGACTTTGTGATGCGGGCCATTCTCACTGGGGTTGGGTGATATCTCAGGGTGGTTTTGATTTGCATTTCTGTGATGACTAGGGATGATGAGCATTTTTCCATGTGTTTGTTAGTCATTTGTCTGTCTTCCTCAGAGAAGGTGCTGTTCATGTCTTTTGCCCAGTGGTAGTTGGGATTGTTTGCTCTTTTTTGTTATTGAGTTCTCTACAGATCCTAGTTATCCTATTCCAGATTTGTAACATGCAAATATCTTTTCCAATTCTGAAAGTTCTCTATTTGCTTTAATTGTTGTGCATCTTTAGCAGTGCAGCTTTTCAGTTTATTTAAGTCCCATTGGTTTATTTTTGTTGTTGCAATTGCTGTTGAAGTCTTCTTTTTAAAATCTTACCTCAGTCTGGCTCGGCGCCTGTGGCTCAAGCGGCTGAGGCGCCAGCCACGTACACCTAAGGTGGCGGGTTCGAATCCCCAGCCTGGGCCCGCCAAACAACAATGATGGCTGCAACCAAAAAATGGCCAGGCGTTGTGGCGGACGCCTGTGGTCCCAGCTACTTGGGAGGCAGAGGCAGGAGACTCGCTTGAGCCCAGGAGTTGGAGGTTGCTGTGAGCGTGATGCCATGGCACTCTGCCCAGGGGGATAGCTTGAGGTTCCGTCTCAAAAAAAAAAAAAACAAAAAAACAAAAACTTACCTGAGTCTGACATCCTCAAGAGTTTTTCCTACACGTTCTTCTAGGATTTTTATTGTTTCATGTCTTAGATTTAAATCTTTTATCTATCTTGAGTCAATTTTTGTTAAGTAGTGAAAGGTGCAGGTCTAGTTTCAGTCTTTTACATGGTTATCCAGTTCTTCCAGCAACATTTATTGAATAGGGATTCTTTTTCACCATGTATGCTTTTGTTTGGTTTATCAAAGATCAGATGGTGGCTCTGGGCCTGTAGCTCAGGCTGGCGGGTTTGAACATGGCTGGAGCCTGTTAAACAACAATGAAAACTATAAAAAAAAAAAATAGCTGGGCATTGTGGCAGGCACCTATAGTCTTAGTTACTTGGGAGGCTGAGATAAGTGTTTGAGGTTGCTGTGAGCTGTGATGCCATGGCACTCTACCAAGGGTGACAGTGAAACTATCTCTAAAAGAAAACAAAACAAAGATCACATGGCTATAAGAGACTGGTTTCATCTCTTGCTTTTCTATTCTGTTCTGTATGTCTAGGTCTCTACTTTTGTGCCAAACTTATGGCAAATCCACTCCAAGTGGCATTCAAATGGTTGCTGTATACTGTTCAACTCTGCCCACTCTTCCAAGCTTTCCACTCAATGCACAGCCTCCCCTAACAACCAAAAACTCCTGCAAGGTTTCCTCCCATCCCTGACTTCCGTAGGGGGCCAGCTGATCCCAGCTCATCAGATTTCCACAGCTCCAGATCAAAGCCTGCATGTAGCTCACCTCCTTATGCTCCCTGAGCTATGACTCTGGGTAAGGTCCTCACAACAGATGTGGCTGGGTTCTCTCTTTTTCCCGTCATTCTAGAAGAGCTCAGTTGAATGAACCTTCTTGGTCCACCATCTTGCTGTGCCCCCAAGTATGAAATCTTAAGCATTGAACATCTGAATCTCTTAATAGCTTCATCTATAAAAAGGGATGTTAACACCTCCTGTTCTGTCATGATCCATATCGATTCTTCCTCCAAAATGGCTCCAGTGACTGTGAATGGGTTTCCATTCCCACTACCATCTTCTTTTTCTTTTTGAGATAGTCTCACTATGTCACCCTCGGCACAGAGCCGTGGTGTCACAGCTCATAGCAACTGCAAACTCTTAGGCTTAAGCAATTCTCTTGCCTTAGCCTCCCAAGTAGCTAGGACTACAGGTGCCTGTCACAACACCTGGCTTTTTTTTTGTAATTGTCATTGTTGTTTGGCAGGCCCAGGCGGGGCTTGAACCTGCCAGCACCAGTGCATGTGGCTGGTACCCTAGCCACTGAGCTACAGGCCAAGCCCCACTACCATCTTTGTCTCTAATCCATGATGCTGGTCCCCAGCATATTAGTTTAACCAGAATGCAGCCAAGTGTTTCTCTCCTTTCCAACTTCTTCAGTGTTCCTCATTATTTGTTAAGTTAGATCTTCTCATCCTTATCCCTCATCATTTGCTTTCTTGCTTAGAAAAGCCAAGTTTGTGGAATGTCTTTGAACATTTGAATATTGCCTTTTTCAGCCATGCCATTGAGTGCACTTTTCCCTGTAAATGGTTGTCCTCCAACCTAGCCTCTTCCAGCCTGAAATCTTCTTTCATAACCCCACCATAGAAATGATTTAACTTGCCTTTGAATTTCTATGGCACAAACCCTTACGATCTTATGTGTTTTGTTTTTTTTTTGGTTTGTTTGAGACAGAGTCTTACTACATCGCCCTTGGTAGAGTGCTGTGGTGTCACAGCTCATAGCAACCTCAAACTCTTGAGCTTAAGTGATTCTCTTTCCTCAGCCTCCCAAGTAGCTGGGACTACAGGCACCCACCACAACACCTGGATATTTTTTGTTGCAGTTGTCATTGTTGTTTGGCTGGCCCACGTAGGGTTCGAACCCTCCAGACTGGGTATATGTGGCCAGCACCATAACCATTGTGCTATGGGCGCCCAGCCTATCTATCTTATGTGTCTTGATTACCCTTCCCCATTAAACTGCAAACTCCTTCTGAGAGAAAGAACTTTATTCATCATTGTGTCTAGTACACTGTCTTATGGAGAATAGGTGATCAATAAATATTTATTGAATAAATGAATAAGTTACAAAACAATTGATGAATATGAATTTGAGTTCTAAAAATAAAAAATGTATAAATAGGACTGATATTCAGCTGTACATACCAGTATGGTCACATCATTTGTAAAATATTGAAATACTTTCCTACCACTGACCCTTGCTACCTAAATGCCTCCACTATCACTGCTCTCCTCCCTGGGAGCACCTGGATATCCCACAATCTCCTAACTAAAGAGTTAGTGTCTTATATAGCAAGGGGCACCCAAGACCAGTTCCAGCCATTGACTAGGGTCTACTCCATTCTGATTGATCAAGATCTGTGCAGTGTCATTGTTCATTTTTTTTTGTTGTTGAGACAGTCTCACTCTGTCACCTAGGCTAGAGTGCCATCGCGTGAGCTTAGCTCACAGCAACCTCAAACTCCTAGGTTCAAGCAATCCTCCTGCCTCAGACTCCCAAGTAGCTGGGACTACACGTGCTCACCACAATACCTGGCTAATTTTTTTACTTTTAGTAGAGACGGGGTCTCACTCTTGCTCAGGCTAGTCTTGAACTCCTGAGCTCAAGCAATCCACCTGCCTCAGCCTCCCAGAGTGCTAGGATTACAGATGTGAGCCGCCATACCTGGCCCCATTGTTAAGTATTTTGATTATTACCCCTGATTATAAATAAGGTTTACATGTACAGGGCTCAGCGCCTATAGCTCAACCGGCTAAGGCGCCAGCCACGTACACCTAAGGTGGCGGGTTCGAATCCCCCCCAGCCCGCACCCGCCAAACAACAATGATGGCTGCAACCAAAAAATAGCCGGGCGTTGTGGCGGG